CAATAGCGACAAAAGAAGACATTATCACTGCCCAATGGTGCTCATTCAATGTTTGGAGCTCTTACACGTTTGCCTGTGTCACCCTTTACATTGATTTAGTGTAGCAAAGTCAAAGTGAAATCACTAATTACCTAAAATAAAGAAGGGAAACATAAAAAAGGTTACAATTGAAATCAAATATCCGCTAAAAGAGTTTGAAAGATTAACATTAAAAAAGTAACCCAAAAGACTAACCTGAAGTTTTAATGGAAACCAAAATAAATTTTCGAGTTGAAACAGTTTAACCTTAAATGATTAAATGTAACCAATCAATGATCAAATGACCAAAGGATAGTGATTAAGTGTAAACACATTATACCATTTAAATCCTGAACATGAATGATGAGAGAAACAAATGAGTTTACATGCGAGATCAGAATATGAATTGAAGTAACTTTCAGTAACTTTCACTGGTTTAGCAAGGAAACCTGAAATGAAATGTCGCTGAAATTTATTGCACCAAACTGTACCTTATCACCTTAATCATCATCATAACCATCAGCAAGAAATACTCAAGTATTAAGAGATATATGGGAGTCAGGTAAAGAGAGAAGAGAGAAAGAAGGAGAAGATGAAAAGATGAAAGATAATGTTTTCTCTCTTTTTTCATCTCTTCTCTCTTTTCCATTGTATTTCACATTAAGTCGAGACTCTTATTGGTTTAAATGGTGGGTAAATTACATGTTATTAATAGTGTGATTGGATATTGATGTAATTACATTTGAAACCAGACAAACGGTGAAAAACATCTTCTCGGTGAAAAAGCAACACTTGTAACAATTGAAACTTAAACCTGGTAATCCGTTAATTCAACCATTTAAATTGTGATTTGTTTCATTTAACCAATTCTCTTGATCCATTGGAATAAAAATGACTTTCAATGATAGACTAAGTGTTTACTTATTGTTTGTGTGTATATTTCAACTAACCAGTGCTCAACCAGAATCCGTTAAAAAAGCATGGAATGTCGAAAATTATCCAAACCCATGGACTGAACCCAAGCGATGTGGTTCACACATTGCTGGATTCATTTGTGATCCAGACAAGATGTTACCCAGAGACCAAGGTTAGTTAACGACTTTGCATTTCCAGACTTTTTTACTTGGAATTGATCTGAAATGAAACAAAAGATTGTAAGATAATACAGTGTTAAGGATCAAGTTTGTAATAAACAAGCTTTTCATGATTACCTCGGTAAGATTATCTCAAGAAAGCATGAAATTGAATCTTTTCCCATTTCAATGGAAATCTTTAATCAAACAACTCTTTATGTTAAAACAGATAGCAACAAATTAACTCTTTCAATTGATCAATTGCTATGAAATTTCTCAGGCCTATTAACTCAATTTAATATCTATTAATATTAATATTAATATTGTTATTAATTTCGGTCTTTGGGTTAAATTGAGCCTCTCAGAAGTAACTCATAAGTGGCTTACACTGGCTTTACTGAAGTGATTAAAAAAGTCAATATTAGATAATTTTTTGATCATGAGAATGCATTAATTATTTGATAACTTATTCTTGAGGAATCAGCTAATGGTTTGTTGTGAAAATGCCGTTAACTCAATTGTCAATTGGTTGATTCAAGTTGAAAATTGTAACATCACGGTAATCACATTTTACACTTAATTAGGATTAATTGGGAACTAATTGTTTCATTTGTCATCATATAACAAGTTAACACAGCAAATAGCCAAGTATAACATTTTAACAATATTGTTAAATACGGAGCATTAGTGAACTGATCTGGGTTATCGATAAAGCTATCTATCTGAGCTTAAAAGTTGTCCAAATAACAAGTAACAATTTACCAGAAAATATTAGCGAATTGTTGGTTAGACTCTTCATGGGTTAAAATGGTTCTATCACTTTATTAATTGAAGTCTGACCCGATTGTAACCCATTGACTTGTCCAGACAAAGCAAAGTGAACTGGTTGCTACATTTGAGGCTTGATATTGAGTTACTTGGGCCTGAAGTTAATTGAAAGATTAATACTCGTGAGACATTTACATTTACCAATGGATTAATTAATATGTCTTGATGATTACACTTTGATTGTGTCAATCAGCGGTTGTACAGAATGAAATTACTCACAATTTAGATAAAAAGATAGACTCAATAAATGAGAGAAGCAGAAATGGTTAAACATTAGAAACATTAATTCTATCCTTACTTACCTTTTTCTCAATGTAACTGATAACAATTAAAATGATAAACAACATTTTATGAGACGATGTTGGTTCAGAATGATGATGTTGATGATGATAATCATTAAAACTGGCGCCTCATTTTGTGGTGGATATTGAAGAGCAATAAAACACTGATCTGCCTGTTGATAGAGATATTGTTATTAAGATTAACCTGGTTTGGCTTTGGATTTGAAAGAAGACAAAATAATCAAGGAAACAGATTCGTCTGAGACAATGGTGGGCATGATAAAAGAGCAGAATGAAGGAGCGATTAAAGGTTCAATTCACTGAAAATCAGAGTTTGGGTAGATTGAAATTCAGTAGAAATACAAACATAAATGATTTCCATTGAACCATCAAACCAGAAAATATCTTTTAATGTTGACAATGAAAAACAAAAACTACAGATTGATAAAAAACTAATTAATTGCTGAAATTAATTGTCAAGGTTATTAAAGTCACTCAGTTATTTAACCTTAAACTATCGACGTTAGTCATTACCGTTCATAGGTCGAAAAAGTCACATCATGTCAACAACAATCACGCGGCAAATGTTGGTTATTTCAAGGGAAAGTTATGTGTGAATAGCAGGTTGCTCAAGTAACAGCCGTTTTGAATAACTGTTTAAAGCTTTTGCCAACGTTGATTAGAAACAGTTTTTGATTATTTTTTTGTAGTTTTACTTATTTTCATCAGCAATTCTTGTTGTAATTTGATTAATCTAATGATTCCTATTTTACTCAACAGCTAGAGATATTGGAAGTTATTTATGGAAACAAGGAAGACAAGATGCTTGTCTTTGCTCAAGATGTCTAACAGCCAAAAATGGAATACCAATTGGAATCGCTTTAATGAATGATGCTCCAATATCACCTGATAAGAGAACAGAGCCTGTATATTATGACGATGAGGAACCACATTATGGGTAATTACATTGATACCTTGACAATTTATGTGATGTTGGTGGACCGGCCAACCTATTCTTGAACAACTGTTAAAAATTTCATCTTCAATACCAACCAGAAGTCTATGATTTTGTTGATTATTTTACTTCTATTGGATGAAATTGATATAATCTTTTTTTTTCAAGATTCCTAATAACACATACTTCTCATAAGATACTTGATTCCAATCATTTTAATGGTTTGATTGAAAAACAAGCAAGAATATGAAAGAATGAAAAAATGATAGGTTAAACATGGAGTTGACATCATCTTAATCTTAATTCCAAACGCTTGTTGATTGATTTATATTGTCAGTTATTTATACCGCTTGTCTGATAGTGTAAATCAGAGTATTATCAATCAGCAACAATTCCCATCTAATCAACAAGTCAACGTTGACGTGAAACTTGAAATGCATGGAAAGACTAAATCCTCGTCTTTGTCTCCAATCAAATTGATCCAAGCTGCCCAATTAATTAACTCAAAATTAACTCAATTTAGAAAACTAGAAAAGTTCAAGATTGAAAATTCAATTATTTAACTTACAATACCTTTGATAACTCAACCCCAGCTTTTCATAATTGAAGGTGCAACTGTTATTACTGATGCTTTGAGTTTTCAATCATCACTTAATGACGAGATTAATTACAATTTCAATTGCAACTTTCTATTAGTTAATAGATAAACAAGAGTCTAAGATGTTGATTATGTTACAATATTGTTCAATGCAATATCGAGAGGAGTAAAAATTAAGGTTCAAAGTGATTGCTTGTTCAAATCAACTCAATCAGTAAATACAAATGGTGTTTGCTATTAAAACCAAGTAAACCCAATTTGATCAAATGCTGTTTCTTATCCTTAATCAGTTGAGATGAGACGTTTTCCCCTGCAAACAGTTTTCCCTGATCAATACTTGTTGGCTTGTTGTCTTATCCGGTGTTATTTATTTACTTACCTGATGTTACTCATCAATATAATGACGTTGGAAACAATTTATCAAGTGATTAGGAGTGGTTCTCATTAAATATTAAAAATTGATAATAGCCAGCTGAGTAGCATTATATCATAATACAAAGACAACACAATGATGATGACAGAGAGATTATCATTAGCATGCAATTTTATTGTTAAAAAAAGCGTATTCTCAACCAATCATGACCTAAGGTTGTAGGACACTTGAGGAGAGGGCCAAGTTTAGCCAAAAGATTCAAAAAAGGTCAAGAGATGTTATTGTTTTTTACGGTAAAATTTGTTCAATAAAACAAATAACCAAAAGAACCGGATAAAGATACGAATCAAGAATTGAAAGTTGTTAACAATTGAAAAGATGAAAAACACACAGCATTTGAATCAAAGAGTAATGTAGCCCTCCTTACTCTTTGATTTGAATAGAAGCCCAGATCTTTGTCTTTACAAAACTGAAGATGTTGAAAATTATTGCAAGTATATGTCAATCAATTGGCCTTTCGGTTCTCACCAAATTCACTAAATGTTTCATTTAATCGCTTTCAACTAATGACAATTATCTTTTATCTTACAGCCCATCAGACTCTATTCAAGCATGGGAGGAATTCGCCGAAAGTTTGAGGAAATTTTGGGGATTCGGATCGTGTGAAAATGATGCTTTAATTGTTATGTCGACTCAAGGTGTAAGTGCATCACCAGGTTTAGTCAAGTCCTGGTTGTCAATATGATGATTAAATTGTTGTCAAGTCTATGTTCAAGCCAAAGATGAAGCTAGTGTCCAAGTCACTGTTCAAGTCAGTCCATGTAAAGGAGTTCCACTTGAAAATTTGTTGCAACTACAAGTTACTTAACAGTTAGTTATTAATTTGTTAACAGCTAATTGCTATCCCAGCCAGTGGTACAATTCACACAATTTCAATTGTTTAGATCTCCACATTTCTAGCAAATGAAAGCGATTCAAAGAGTCCCCAAAGCTTTATCATTTAAATGTGTTTCTGTTTTGTTTCTTTCTGGTTGCAACAAAATTAATTATACAAATACTTCAACTGTTGATTCTAGGCTTAGACAAAGGTTTCATGGTAAACTTGATTTATTAATCAATTAGCCATGTAACCGCCGTGTACAAGCTTACTTTCAAAATTGAAGGGAACACGAAAAAAGTCAATAAATTTAGCTACAATCAAATTGTAAGTCTACTGAGTTTAATTAAGCTATTAATAGGGTCAAAATTGATTATCAATCGGATAGGAAAACGATGGGACGATAGACAGTATAATTAACATATGATCAAGGCCTAGCAATTATTAGATTAATGCTGATTTGAAACAGCAGTAAATCACCTGGTTGATAACACTTTGAGTATTACTTTTATTGACATTTTACTTAAAAATGAACAGTATTAGTTAATGGCTGTTACTATCAATCATCCTTACCATCAGTTGAATCATCGTCTTCAGCTGAACTTGCCTTCTTTTGACCTTTACCTTTACCTTTGGAATCTTTTTCCTCCTTCTTTTCATTGACCAACAGTGGTGAGCCATAGACTTCAACCTCAGCCAGATTGAGTATATTTTTATCCTTCTCACGACAATCATCACAATTCTTGACAATTTGAATTGTAACAAATCTTCCAGCTAAAGGGCAAGGCTGAGAAATGGCCAATGAAAAAAGGAAAAGATTAGGTTAAGGATAATGTATTTAGGAAAAATTGAAATTACTTCACATTTAATTGTAACCATTTGACCAGACTCAATGCCAGCTCCTTTATGGCCTCCACAAAGTCCATTTGAATTGAATTGAACATTATTATAGTCTGTAGTGATTGATTTATGTCCAACTCTAACCTCAAAGTCATGTAAACGATCGGCTGTTTCCACACAAAATTCATTTCTCTAATTAGTTTCATTTCAAAGGACATTTGTAATCTTCATTTTTTACTTTACCTGGATTCTTTCGATTCAATATCTTGACCATTGATACAATGTATTCCCGTTTGAGGTCAACTTGCCACCACGGGAATGAATCAGCTTCATTGCCATCTTTGGTTTGCGATAAATAAGGTAGCTTGAATGTCTCAATGTTTTGACTTCCATCCACAGCTCTATCAGCTGTATATGAAATGCCGTTTACTTCAAAAACTGAGCTTTGAGTTGCTGGTTTTTTTAAAGCCAAATTTTCTGAATGAAACAGTCATTAACAATACATTAATTGCTGGGAATCTTTTCACCGAAAATCATTAACATGATAATAAGTAAAATTACCTTGAGTGAAATTGGGTAGAATCTTGTATCGTGAAAACGCATAAAAAGAGGAAGGTTGATAGTTGGATTTTAATCAACTAATTGATTAGCTTCATTGAGAGATTGTTTATTCATAAAACAATTTCCGTTTGATAATCATTAATTGTTAGACTTACCATTGCAAAGTAAACAAAATCAGTGTGATTAAGACCATTGGCGTCCATTTCAGTCAATAAAGGTTCACAAACATCACTACCATTTATGGATAGACTTTAATTGGACAACCAAATTTAGTTATTACAATAATCTATTGGCTATTAAATCACTTACCGGACACAAGTGCAATCAGGAATTTGTGCACATTCAGTGGCACAATTAAGTACAGATCCTCGCTCATACGATCCAATGAAGTCATTTAATTGATGAACATAATTTACCGAAATCGTTCCAATAACTATTGGCACTATTAGCTAAATTTTAATATAAAAATTTCATTAATATTTCAGGCTTAGAAAATTGAAAATAATTTCAAGTATTTTACCTGAAAATAAATGAAAAGGCTGAACATTATATCAATAGCTTTGACACTTTGCATTGTGTCCACTTTAACCAGACAAGTTCATCAAAAGAAGTGACCATTTGACTAAAAATTGCGTCTAATTCTGATTTTCTAGAATCAAATCAAACAAATGAATCTAAAAACAAGAATGGCTCATAATTGAATAAACTGACCAATTAGCTAATTGAAAAGTCATGTTTACTTTGCCTGAATGAGTTCAATAAAGCTAATTATGAAATATTAATCATTTCATACCTTTTCTTTCCTATTAGCCATGATTTTATTTTACCTTCAATTTGTCTGACCATAATTTAATTATCTGTCATTATAACTCATCTTTTTAGACAATTTATTAATTTGCAAACTATCCAGAGATCAAGCTGAACCTGACTAGCTTCCTTACTGGACTTGAATGTTGACTTGAAATTTTTATCAACAACGCCTAACCTTTTAAAATTACATTTGATCAACTGTTTAATAATTTATTAACAATCATAAATTGTATCTCTTACAGGGAGCCATTGCATTAGGTAATTACACTCAAAAATTACTGGAAGGCTCAGAATTGTTACATTTGAAGCCACATAGGTTTTTGGTTCGCCCTGAAAAACGATCTGAGGTGAGTGACAAATTCACTAATTACATGTTTATTGACAATAATCATGTTATTTTTCTTGTTTCATCCTCAGTTTATCATGAAAATGGTCAGAGAAATACAAGCACATCGTAATCCAAATGAAAAGCCTACAACACATGAAAATTTTACAATGGATCTGGTCACTATTAAATATTCTGAGATACTTGAAAGCCAACCTAAAGTCGATGATAAAATAGTAATTAAAAACACAGTTAAACCAGAAATCCATAATATATCAATGGCACAAACTTGGGGAACAAATAGTTTCATTGCTGCAGCTGAAGATGATGATTTTGAAGCACCACCAGAAGCAAAGATAGATACTTCATTGGCATTTATCCTCATTATTTCATTTACAGTTCTATTGGTTTGTTTGATTGCCCTTTTCTTAATTATTTGGTATTATCGTACCAAAACGGGTCACATACAGCCCAGTGCTGAATACACGAAACCTCCAACAGATGAGAAGCTTCCAAGTGATATCAAGACTGTTAAATATGAACCTTGTCAAACTGATGAACCTGGTTTACCTGTTTAATAATAGTTGCTTATTTTTTCCAATCATCTTCATCACAATTGCCAATGGATCCTCATTTTCATTTAACCATATCATCACATCTCATGTACACTTGCTTTCTAAATCTACTTTTGGTTTTACCAAATGATTGCCATGTAAATAACGCTATTTTTGTCCTCAACCAAATCAACATTTGTTTAATGTTGCTTCGACAATTAATGAGTGAACCCTATTGTGTTTAACTGCCTATGGTTTTGTATCAATAAATGGTATTAAATACAGAATCTTAATAACTTAATCAAGTGACATCTTAAAATTAATAAATTAGGATAATTTTATGAAAACAAGTCAAACATTGAAACAATATTCAAGTAATTCACTTTCTATCATGAGAATGAATCAGGGATTTAGCGATAACTATTATACTTGGGAAAAGTAAACAATTTGCGGCGATTTAAATGAAATTGTTGCACAGAGAAAAGCAACTTGGGTAATTCAATGATTAGATTAAGAAATTATCTTTGTTGTTAAATCTCACAGAGTTACTTCCGATGATTCATTATGAGAAATAATTAGCAATTGTTTGTTGATTTTAATTAGATACTTGAATCACGAATTTTTCAAAACCATGCAAATGAATGAATTGTATTACTTTAATTGTTGTTGTTATATCAATTGATGACAATATCACAGCTTTGATTCTATGATTTTTTAATGACTTTTGTGACACAAAAAACCCAAGCCAAATATTTGATTGGAGGGACAAAAAACAACATCAAAAATGAGTTAGGGTTTTCAGCCCAATTGATAGGCTTGAATTTTCTTAATTTTGTGGCAAGTGAAATGATTCACCTGATGCTTTTTAATAAAGGGCAAAGCAGATAATGAGAAAAAGAGTTAGCAAAATTGACGATTCTTGATTGTATTCCTTTTTCTTGGGATTCTTGAAAACTTTTGTCTGGCTTCTTGATTTGAGAAAGATTTGTGGCATATCAAATTATATTTACGCTTTTTACACGTTTCCAGGTGAAAAAATACAAATTAATAGGGGAAACTCGTTACTTCATGATAATTACTCGTAGCAATGTAAATATAAAGATATTCTGAAGATGTTCTGATGAAGATATTGATAAATAAACAGCTTAATTTACTGTTCCATTTTTTCTATCAGTCCTATTGAGATACGAATGTTAACAACTTTTAGTATTAATAGTGAGATTATCAAATTAATCTCCATTCTCTTTGTAGTGAATGGATACTCTTCCATTTTCCTTAGGCTTTATCATGTTTTCATGGTAGATAATCATTTCTGAATGCTGTTGGCTTTGATGTTGATGATATGGATGGTTCTGATGTAAATGTTGTGGATGAGGACGATGATGATTATGTCGATTATTATTTTTGGTGTCCTTTTGTTTTAACGAGTCATCATTATAATTTTTCTTTCTTTTAAAATCAAAAACTAATTTCTCGTTAACTTGGAAGCTATCTTCGCCTTCACCTGCATCTTCCTCCTCTTCTCCTTCCCCTGTTTCGTCCTTTCCATCATCATCGTCTTCTTCATCACTTTCATCGCTGTCATCACATTCTTCACAAAACCATTGATAACCTTTCTTTTTCGGATTTTTCCTCAAAGGGGGATTACAACAAGCAAAGTGGTAGAATAGGAAACATTGGTCACACCTACAGAAGTAAAGGCAAAAAGAAAAAAAATATATTTAAGATTTGAATTCACAAAAAGTTAAGGAAATTTCAGAATGGTGAAGGTTTACATGTTATAAACTTTGTGCCTAAGAAAACTGGACAGAGAAACGAAACTTTCTTAATTCAATAGAAAGTAGATCAATTTTACAGAATTTATCAAAAGAAATAGAAAATAAACTGTTAATAATACTTACTGAACAAGAAACTTGGTCTTTGAAATTTGTTTACATTTACAGCATTCTTCTTCAAGTTTGACAGGCTTAACAGGCTCAAGAGTTACCAGTAGACTATTATTAGGACCCATACTTACTATACCTCGTCTGTTTGCAGAATTTTCTTCATCATCTTCTGTAATTTAAAACAACCAAAAAATGTCACTGATTAGTAATTGTATGAGAAATTAAATACAAACTAAAATTACCTTTTTTAATCTTGATTTTATTTCTTCTGACACCCTTAATTCTTTTCCTTTTTCGACCTCGTTTTTTCTTTTTCGGTATAGCAGCAGTTGGAGTAGTTTCGGCATCAGGTACAAACTTGTTTGGCCCTTTAACGTTCTCTCTAAGTCTTCTACGTTTATTAGGAGTATCGATAGAACTTTCAGGACTTTGTTCTCCATCACTTTTGTTAGGAGAAGTAGTTTCTTCTTCTTCTTTCTCTGTACAATCAGAACACTGCCAACCACCAAAACGCGTCTTTTTAGGCATCCTCTTGAGAGGTGGGTCAAGACAGTAAAGGTGATAATGAAGTTTACAGGAGTCACAAAGAGCCAATCTTTGAAAATCATGACTTCGGTTACAGATTCCACATTTGACCAAAATGTTTGGTGCCGAAGTAGCAGATTCACCAACGGCTCCACCGGCTTTTGACTCTTCATCTCGTTTTTCTGCATCATTTTGAAATAACTTAGGAATGGATATAGTTTCTCTTGACAGATTAGCTAGAAGAGTCCATATATTTCGGCCTGTTTCTTTTAATTCGGTATTTTTGGTTTTGCACTCGCCAATAACATTAATTAGCTAGAAGATTGAAAAGAAATTAATTTGACATATTCTGACGTTTGAAATGTGCTTACTTCTTCATATCTTTGTCTGGTTGTATTTTCAACTCCTTTCAATTGGCGACATTGATTTTTAAGCTCTTCAATTCGTTTTTGCATATTAGTTATTCGATTATCACGATCTGATGAATAAAATAATGTCAAATACAATGTGAAAAATGGGATTTCACAGTCAGATTACTCATAACTTGGCAAAGTTTTTAATTGGCTAACACGTGAAAAAGACAATTTAGAGCTGTAAAAGTATCATTCGATTTCACACAAGATCTCCATCCAAGCCATATAAAAATAAGCTGTATGGGTAATCCTGTATTTTTAGATAATTACCTAAATAATAAGATACATATTCAACGGAGAAAGCTGGAGGTAAATGCCACTTTTTTCTAATATCTACATCTTGAGCAGCAATATATTGCGTTTGAGGACTCATCCCGAGAAGCTCAGCTTTTCTGATGAGTTTTTTAACTGCAGAGGGACTTGTTGTTAACAGTCGCGGGATCTTTTGATTGGGAACTAAAGAGAAAATAATCGATAAATAGAGTAAGTTTTTATACAATTTAATTGAATTTGTCATGTATCTATCAAGCTCACACTTACCCCATGGTGGTTGTTTCATTTCCTCAATTTTTAACCATTTAATCCTAGCCCTTTGAAGTTTACGAGCAATGCGTTCATTAAGAGAATTTTCTTGTAGTTGTTGGCGTTTTATTTTCATTTTAGACTGGAGGGCTAACCAATTCCTTCTTTTAGATTTAACAACTGCCTTGTCACTAGCATGTACTTTACAATGAGCATAAAAAGGATCCACTAATTCTGTTTCATCCGCCGTTTGAGCTTCTGAAAGAAGTCCATGGGATTGAGCACAGCTAACATGAAAATATGATTTACACATTCCTGCATCACAGGAAATACAAACACCAGTTCTAGAGAGACGCTCATCCTCACACAGTATACATGTTCGAGCACTCCACCGGTCATGAGATAACTCGAATAAAGTTACACCGCTTAAATGACTAGTATCATTGAAGGCAACTCCTGGAATATAGAGAGCACAGACAAGGTGAACCCATCTTTTGACGTCAGTTTGTTTAAATATGCCCCCAACGTTAGGACATAGATCACAGTTTGGATTGGTTACATTTGCAAGGCAGGCATCACAAAACCAAGGCTCGGTTGAAGCTGAACTTGCGTTGGAATTAACTGAATCTGCGTCATTATCTGTGTCATTTGTAACACCATAACATGCTTCATGGACAGTAATACCACAAGAATCACATTCAACTAGGTAAAAAAAGGAAAAAGATAAACACTCAAATTAGGAAATTAAAACATTAATGAATGGCAACTTGATAATATTTACCTATTTCATCAACTTCATGAGATACATCTCCTAAACATACTGAGCAAACTAATAATTTAGTCACTCTAATTGGCAGTTCAAATTTAATAGGTGAAAAATCACCTGAGCTTTTCAAATAATCAGTATTGGAATGAATAAGATCAGCTGTTAATCCAGATTTTTCAGTAGACCTAAAGAGTGAACAGAAAAATAAAGAAACCAAATTAATATTAATGCAAGAGTAATTGCGTTGATTAATTAACTAACTTATTTTCTTCTTTTATAGCTCTATGTCCTTTATTTTCGTCATCATCATCATCTTCGGCGTCTGGATCTTCATCATCATCGTCTTCATCGTCATCCTCGTCGTCGTCGTCGATATCATCTTTTTCAGCGGCAGCGATATCTTTAGATCTGTTGAAATAAAAGATTATTTTATTGATTAATATCAAAGCAAATTCAAGTTAAATTAGATGTCAAACAAATTGAAGAGACATATAAAAAGATAACTTACTTCGGCACGTATTCTTCATCATCTGAAGACGATTCAGCTAGAAGATCACTTACTAGAAGATTCAGGCTGGAATGCGCCATTTTGGTTTTAGGATAAGAATAGTAAAAACAACACACTAGATAAGAAAAATTTACAAGAGTTTACTCCGTCGGTAAACAACCTCAGATCGACACCACTAATTAAAGTTAACACTATTAATAAGAAAAGTTGGTTCAAATATTAAAAAATAAATAGAATTTATTAAATTTAAAGGACATCAACAATTTAGCGATTTGCAGAGAGTTGAGTTCTGGATGGCAAGTTGAAAAAAAGTAAAAAAAAGTTCATAATGATAGCGCTAGATTGCGCCACAGGTGAATCATATTAGAACGTAGATTTTAAAAGATTTTTCAATTTTACAAACAATTTAACTCCAATTTCAATCAACATTTATCTAAATTTCATAAAACGGTCAACAGATCAATATCAAACTTAGTCATTGAATTACATTATCAATTTATAGATACAGTTTAAGTTTCTTTGATGAAAACATATCAAAGTAAATCTCATTGAAAACACTTAAAATAACTTAAATCAACAAATGCATTTGGATTAATTCAAGCTTAATGCGAATGATTATGATTTCATAAAAAGTAACTCTAATAAACAAAAAAATATTATGATTTAATAATCAAAATAATTCTCCAAAGAATGAAAGAAATTTTTCAACTGTCCCTCAAAAGGCGAGGTTAACTGATTAATAATTTCTTTTCTCATTCAATCAGCATGTTTGATTTGATTTCTGTGGCCAATGGTTCTTTATTATTGATCATAATTAGCAGAATAAAACCAGAAAAATTTGGTGTACATTTAAGCTTCTTGTTAATCTTTGATTTTCAGATGTGAATCAAATTCATGAGATTGATTTGCTCGTAAAATAGTGAAAATAAGCTATTTCACGGGCTTCTCTTTGAAAGGGTTAATTTTTATCCACTTTTCATTTTATTGTGTTGAACATAACCGTAGCTCTATCATTTACTATATGATATTTAGTATATGATAGTTTGTGATTAATAGGCTGAAGAAATTATATTTTCTATTGGATTAATAATAAAATATGATTTAGTAACATTTGAATCAAATGTGAAAATAGTTTTGAGGCACTGAGGAAGAGGCTACACAGGGAAGAGACGATCATGGAGGAAGATGAGAACCAATGATAATGAGAAACATTTTCTTCTCTTCAAAAAGACTAATTTTCAAGAGTAAAATTACTATTTTTAAATTGATTCCGGGCTATTCATTTTGGCTTCTTTCAGTCGCCTCGATTACGTCTTCAGCTATTTACTTCATTATCAACATTGAGATTGAGGGGAAAAGATGTGATGTTTTTTACTATCTTTGCCTATGTGCCTATTGACGATGAAGGCAGGGTTGAGGTGGAATTGGATGAACATAAAATAAACAAATAAAATTAATAAAGTCTCAAAAATATTTTGAATTTTTCCAGTTCATTACTAAAAATATGCATTCGCTAGATGGCGCATTAAAAAAAAGAATTTTTGAAAAATTATTTTTTAAATCTTAAGTCAGTTAATTTTCACACCTTTTGTAACATTGATAATTCACAGTTACTGTTTAATCCTTTGATTTCCTAAATTTTAATTTTCAGCTTTTTATTATTTCCTTTAGCGTGATTTTTTACGAATCAATGGAGGTTTCACAGGTAAGGTTAAAGAAAAAATTAACTCTTTGATTTGTCTTTATTTAATGTACCGTTTTTTGTCAACAGTCTCACAAAAATTTTGCAAAAACAGACCCTGATTCAGATTCGGAGCAAATGGATAGTCGGGATGCTGAAGAGATTAATAGTAAAGATGATATTCCCACAGAAATACCTTTAAAGAAAGTTATAAAAGATATATCGAATCTTCCTAACGGAATTATGGCTGCTAAAAGTTTCAGCGAAACGTCAGGTAAATTTGTTTTTTCTAAAATGCAATCCTACAATTAAATTCGATAAATTATAAACCTTCTAATTTAATATTAATTTAAATATTCAAATGGTAGACTCTTGTTTCAGTTCATCAATTTCTGATGGTAAAAAGAAGGCGAAGATTAATGACAAAGAAGACAGTCTCGGTCAACTGCTTTTGCTTATGCTTAAAAAGTGCGAAAAAATTGAGGATAAAATTGAAAATTTGGATAAAAAGCTAAGCACTGAAACGTAAGTATTCTGTGTTGAGCATTTTCATGTTTATTTTTCTATCATTCAATTGGTAAACTTAATAATTATTTTCTTTTGACATTTTTCAGTGAAGATGTGAGCAAACTTAAGACAATAGAAGTACGATCCAAAAACCCTATGTCTGCTCATTACTATCGAATAAAAGTGGTTCAAAATGGTGTAACTTTACATGGAGAAGAGCACTTTCAACAATGCAAAAAATTAGCAAAATTCATGAAAGAGACTGGTCTTTATAGATGCAACTGTGAAAAGTGTCAAAACTCTGGTGACTTTTACGAAGGCAAATTGAAGGATGTGTATTATCACATAAGGAAAACCCAAGGAATCTTCTTGAAGTGCACATATTGCCCGAAGGGTAGTACACATAGTATGGCAAAGCTCAGAGATCACATTCGCAAACTTCATCCATGTGAAGGTGAAAGTTGCATCAATCAAGAAATAGATAGTGATGATTGATTGACTCGTTACAAATGGCTTCCATCATTTTTACCTTGTTTTTTACATTGTTTTTTTACATTGATTTTTACCTTGATTTTTTATTTTAAATTGTATAGTCATTTCGTTAGTTATCGTTATCGAAAACAAAATGCATATATTCAATAATCTCATACTTCCATTGAAATACTGTAATATCATATTATTTTCAGTTAAATAATTTGATTAATATGTTTTATTCAAATAAAACTAACTCCATACTTGGATAGATATTCTAACACAATTATTCATGGATACAATCATCACTAATCATTTTGACTATTTATGTTTCATGGTCTTCGGGAGGTACCAAAAATTTATGTTATAAGTTGATATTTTTTGTGCATCAAATACTTTTCAATTAATTTAAAATTCACATCATTACACATTGTAATGTACTTTATTTGTTGAAGTTTGATTGTTCAGATCGATCAGCAAGTCAGCTTTGATTTGATTTACCTTTCATTTTGTTTACTACAATTTGTATCATGCAATTATCTGTATTATCAGCTAAAAGACTTTTCCTTGATTTTAAGATGACATTATAACTCTGATAATCAAGATGAGAATGAAAAAGAGGATTAAGAACAAGGGATTGGCTTTTCAATTAGGACGTAATATTAGTCGATGAAGGACAACAATGAAATCAACTGTTTTTTTAATTGTTGAGCTAAACTGAATATCTCATGAGTTTGGTATAGAATTTAGATTTGAATTTGTTGTATCTTCATCAACTATGATCAATGTTATTTTGTTTTTACTAATGAATATTGGATGGAAGCAAATTAGTCTAAAATGAAATGAGGTTTAACCTGGATATTGAATTGAAAAATGAAAACATTTTGCTTTTGCGGTCAAATGTTGATAATCTTGAAATTTCTCACGATTAAAGGCCTTTTGAATAAGAATTAGAAAAATTAAATTGGTTGAATTGGATTAAGATGAAAAGATAAAAGATTGTGATTAATCAAAAAGATGATCTTTTCGTATTCTTTGTTTGCCTTCTCATATGGAAAAATTCTGAAAATTCATAGGTTCTCTAAATTGGGCTAATTTTATGAATATAATTAAAATAAAAGATGAGCCAAATTTCGGTGACCTTATTTTTAGACAGAGAATCTTCCAGGGAATTATATTAACCAAAGAGACTAGTCTATGAGGATGGTCTCTCTTGCATGCAAACAGCTTATTGTTATGCTCGGCCAGTCCTATGAGGAAGTTATCTTTGGTTGAATTAGGAGAGGGAGAAGGAAGAGTGAGCCAGATATAATAGTTAAATTGGTTCAAAAGTAAACGTCGAAGAAAAAAATTAGGTGAAAAAATCTACAATTAAATGGATAGCATAGTGCTGAACTTGGAGTGAGTTAAAAAGTTTCATCCTAATTCATTTTTATCCGTGTTTCAAGCTGTTACCTTAATTCCTTCAAAGTTGTATCTTTTATTTAATCTTGTATCCAACTAAACAAGTTAATAGATTTTATCATCACCGGTGTCTTCTGTTCATTGGAAAGTGTTTAACTCATACAAAAGATTACTGGAATGCCTAATGCGACTATTAAACAACTTTGTATCTGCCAGATTTGTATTTGTGGGTAAGTTAAGATTACTTTTCATTCATCTTCAACCCATCAGAGTTTAAGTAAGCACTTGAGTAAATAATCAAGAAGCAGCCAAGAAAGGGTCTCAGTTTCAAATATTGATATTGTACAGCATACAGTAATAATGTATTCAACTTTAACTTTCTAAAATTTTCTTGAAAACAGGATTATCTAAAGCAGATTTCATTCTTGAGATTATTTTAATGGTCAAATTTTACCACAGAAAATCAACAAATTTGCAACTTTTCGCTACTTTGAGCCTGCAATTGAAAATATTTTAGGATTTTTCTCCATCCAGTACGATATACCAGTATTACAAGCAAGTTACAAGCCAACTATTATTTTACACTTTATGACACAATTTGATCCCTGAGACTGTAAATTATCATTACAATCATTCCAAAATAATCCAATTTGATTTGAAACAATGGCGTAATAAACTGCAAAAAGTAGGATTTGATTAAAGAGGATCAAGGGCAGATTGATTTGATAAATGGTTTAATATTTCGTCCAATCCATTGATATTACTGATAACTCAAACTATTCCGCATAATATTATTTCCAAGGATCAAATCAGAAGTGAAAAGTTATGAGACAATATTTATATTAATTAAAGCTTGAAAAGGAGGTTAACACGTTAGTTTTATGGTTACCAACAAAGGACAGGCAAGTTTAAACGGTTCAGCTATTTTATCGATTAGACTTTAATATGTTTCATTTCATTTTTTGCCAATACCGACCAGCAGCCACTACACTTATTTTAAGCATGAATTTCACCATCATTTCTGTCCATGGGCGATCTGCTCATCTTTCATGGTTTAGAATGGTTACATATTTGGACAATCTCGTCTTCTTCCTCTTCCTTTATTTGATAGCCACCATTTAGTATCGTAGCAACATTTCAGGAATGATTAACCAAGAGTAACCACATAAACTTCTAGTTAATTGCAACCATCATCATTACTATTAGTATCATAAAAATTCAGAGGAATCATGCACAAACAGGTTGAACCAATGATGATTTTCCCCTCTCTTTGAGTCTTTACATCCCTTTTGCGGTCAGTCAAATAACCAAAAATGACAATCAATATATTAAAGCTGGCTTAATTTGTTGTCTTTTTGTTTTGGTCTTTTTTTACAATTTAAATGTGCAATTTTTAGTGAGAAAACAGTTTTGATTTACACGAGTTTTCTATTTGAAGTAAATTGAGGTATCCAACTTAATTGTGAACCAAGCATCTTTTTACACGAAATAAAGTATGCCCATTACATCAGTGACTAGTATTATCATCTATGCTAAAACATCGATATCATCCTCCTTGTGGTAAACATCGATGGGACCTTTTCCTTTTTATTAATACACCAACACAATTAAGATCCAAATCGAATCTAGCTCCAATTCCGGAAACAAAGTGTCTCTTTTGTTTACAGCAATTAACTGGAGAAAGGTTAGTTTCTTTAAATATCACTTGATACACCAAAGCAACGATACCAATGACAAACAAATTGGATACCATTAGTTCAACACAAAAGTTAACACATTAGCTTCTGGTAGGCTAATACAGGAAATAAATTGTTGATCCATTTTGATTTCATTCCTTGAAAAAAGTAATCGTTCACAAATTTAAATTATATTTAATATTTTTAGATTGTGGAAATATGCATGTGAAATTGAATAAAAATAATTAGTTCAGCAAAAAAAATTAAACAGTGATACATTCAAAGAGAATTGTTTTTTAGCAATTATTCATCCAATTACAGAATAGAGCAATCAGCCATCAAAGGGCGCGCTATTTGATCAATTCTTAAATTTTTAATTATTGAATTGTTTAACATACTTACATGTAATAACCTTTGAAATGGACGCTGGATTGCTTCCAAAATTTTATTAAAAATCAATAATCTAATGAGTTAATCCTGCATACAGTTGCGCTTTCAGAAGACTTCGCTATGCATTAAATGTAAGCTTCAACTTTATCAGATTTGGAATTACTGATTTGTTTCAATTAACCAATTGCAAAAGTAACTTTGAAATCCTTTCATTCATTAATCTCCTTTTCTTTTTACGTCGAATTAATTTATATAATCTGTACAATAAATACAATATATGAAGCGACCTCAACAAATTTTTGCGCTAAATTGTGGCTAAAGGGCTCTAAAAATTTTATGACAAATGATGGTCATGATCTGACTACAGCGACGCAAAATACATGTAGGTTGCGTTTTCTAGAAATTTAGGTTTCTGAGAAAATCATGTTCTAACAGGGTGAAGGAAAAAACAGAATCCTCATTCTAAATAAAATCTGCTATGAAAAGTAATGATGATAAAATTGAAGTAAACTTAAAATTAATTACATTTTTTGTGTTCTGTGAAGTTGTAAAATACTAGATGGCATTGTTTTCTTGCACAAAATTTGGAAAGATTAAGGCCAAAGAGTAACAAGAGACTGCACGATGATGTAAGGGGTGCAAAATGAGATAAGGGCTAGTTTAACCTCTCGCTGATAGATGGCAATAAAAAAGAAAGGCAAAGAGAGAGAGAAATTAAAAAGCAAATTAATCTCTTTAATTCAAAATTAATTTTTTATAATTTTTTCAAAATTGTCTTTCTTTTTTTAGCTTCCTTCAATGCCCTCTATCAGCGAGAGTTTGCGTTAGCCCTTATCTCATTTTACACCCTTTACCTCGTCGTGCTATCTCTTGCTCCTCTTTGATTAAGGCGCTTTAAAGCTTGAACCAGTTACATTTTTAATAACAGATTAAAACGAAAGTTCAGTTATTATAATTTATATTTGGTTTATTTAATTTTACATTGTATTAATTTGTGGCTATTCTTCTTCATGTATTTTACAGTGAACACAAATGCAATCCTGACGACCCCTATGAAATATGCTCGTTGCGAAAAAATAACACAGTTTCAACTGGAGTCGGTGATTATGTTATTGGTAAGGATATTACTGAAGCTGAAAGGATAGCTCGAAGAGAAAAATGTCGCAAACAGTGGCAGATATCACCAGAAGCATTGAAATCAATTGCTAATTCTTATCCAAAAGTTGCCAATCCGAGCGCTTCATCGGTGGCTTCCAGAGAAGGACGAGGAGGAGCAAGTCACCGTAATCAAGCTGTTAATAGTAGGAATAGTGTTAATAAAAACAACAACAGTTTACATAATAGTCGAAAATTACCACCAATTGAACGAACAGTTGAAAATCAAAACACTGAAATAAGTCACATAGTAAGATCTGAATCTCAGGGAAGGTCAGTCTCAAACAAGTTGGATCAAACCAAAGAGGTGTCGAAAATTAATTACACCAGAGAAGGAGCTGAATCATCTTGTAGCCAAATAATGGAAAGTCACCGAGAATCTGGTGGTTCGCATATTGATGTTTCAGTCAGAGAAGATCAAAGTATTAGCTGTGAACCAGAGTGGATTGTGCCTCGACCAACAAAAGTGAAACCAACAGATAATCTGAAATTGGAAGGACAAATGGATCTGGAAACAACCTTCAGATCCACAATAGATTCTTCAGCAGCTCAAAGATTGGTTTTCTCAAGACAAGAAGGTGTGCACGATCGTAGTGTTTCTCCATGGGGTGAAGCAGATTGGGATCCAACTGTACCTTACAAGCGGCGCCACAGGCCAAAAACATCACTCAAACCCGGTGGAGAAGGTTATTATTCAACAAACAACAAAGAGAGTTACAAAAATTTCATAGTTGTGGACCAGAGTCGTGAGCAAATGGTTCAAGAGAGACTGGATGCGTTGGCAAGGTCAATGGACAAAAAAGCATCTATCAGCAAAAGAGTGATCGAGCCACTTCAACCTAAAAACAAAGCTTCCAATAGCTCTTACACGCATGAAACGAATGGGCGAGATTCGACAAGTCAAACAAAATCACGTTCAAAGAGAGCAGCTGAACACTCTACTACAAAGTTACTTACTTCTGAAACCAATAAAATTAAAACAAATAATTCAAAAGTGAAAGCTTCACATGAGCACCATGAAAGCAATTCAAATCGCTTAGAGACTAAGGAAACAACAATAACAAAATCAAAAAGCATTCATAACATCGATGTTAGTGATAAGGTGGAAGAAAATAGGCGAAATGGCTCAATCAACGGAACTGATTCTATGACCAAGTCATCAGAAACAGAGAAGAACAATCATCAACCATCGAAAAAAGGAAATCAAGGGGACAATAGTGGTCGATCAAACTTACCAGACAAAAGTGTCACTGAAAAGCATAGCTCAGAGGGCAAAAATGATAAAGTAGTGAATGGTATTAGAAATGACGAAACCAAAGAGAAGACTGACAAGAACGCGAAAGAAAAGAGAGAAACTATTTCCAATCAGAGTGATGGACGGGGATCACACAATAAATCGCCTATCCCAGCAAAATCAGGAGGAACCGTACCATTTGCCGTTCCCATAGTAAGACCTAGTCCGATACGGCCTACTTCATCACTTACATTGAATGGTAAATTTAAAGCAGATAGCCAAGGAGTAGCAAACAGTGAAACTGTTCATGTTAATGGCTCAAGTGAGGTTACCGATTCTAATCGCAATAATGCAAATGCAACATTAACCAATGGTAATCAAAGTACTTCACGAAAAGATCATTATACCGTTTATGAGGAATCTTTAAAAGTCGAACGAGATAGACTCAAAGCATCAAAAAGTATTCCATCATTGGATAAAATTGACCAATCTAAAGAGGCTAACGCAGATAACGAAGATAAAAATAAATATAGACGCGGACGAAGCTTACCTAGAAATAAACCAGCTAAAAATCGTAATGAAAGCCATCTACGGTTTTCGGGTGACATGGAGTTTGAAACGACAACTCAACACTTTTTTCAAGATGGCTCTCAAATCACTGAATATATAAGAGAATCGCGATCAACTGATCAACGTAAACCTCATCGTGATCTATTTAGAACCTCATCTGAAGCTGAGCTTGTAACATTTAAAGCAACCACATCAACATCTGCTAATATGAGTACTAAGAACAACAAAACGACTGCAAAAACAACATACAATTCAGTTTTTCGTAATAAACTTTACTGTCCAGCTGTTGATTTATCACCCAAAAATCCTGAATATCAATACAAGGGTGAAGCTGGTGGTCATCATTTCTTCCTTCCAGTAACACAATATTAACCGTTATTACAAATACTGCTAACCATTATCTTTATCTTGTAATTTTTACTCTATCCGACTCATGTTCCTGAAATGTGTCTCCAGTTTTGGTAATCAAACTGCATAAAGATAGAGAAACAAAATCTTTCAAATACTGAACAGATTACTTCGTTGTAAAATCCACTTCTAAAATATTCATCGTAAGATTTACAAGTACATCTATATTGACAACAACTAAATTAATATTATTTCAATAGTTTACTGTTGCAATAGTATAGTGAAAAACGGACAATCAATAGATTTGATGTTGCGTTTTGTAATGAAAATTAAATTTAAATTGAAGGTAAAATATTCTCAAATTGAAATTTCCTTTTCTCTTTGTTGAAAGGTAACAAAATTTATTCTTATTACATGATAAATTTATTGGTTGAGATTTCATGGCAGGTACGATTTAACGTCCAAAGTACTTTAAGCAAGGTTAGTATTTTGCAAAGAATGGTCAACCCATTTGACTTTATTAGCAATTAATTCAACTGAGATTATGGCCAATCTAAATTATTCAATGGACCTTGTAACAGTAATAGAAGAAAATAAATGAGAACTTTTTCAAATGATCTAAATTAGATGTTGGCTAAACTTACTGGAAATCACGAAACGTTGGACAGATTAAATTGGATGTTGAAAATTGAGTTATCAAATCAAAGGCAATTGTGATTGAATTTTCATAGCGTCCACTTGAAACCATCCTAACAGCTGTATTACCACAGGCAATGTCAATTTGGATTTTCCCTTAAAGATGAAAGAAACAAGAAAAGAAAATTTAAAATATAATTTCAACTGATGAGTATCCTGTAAATTTAGTACATTAAGATTGCTTATTTACCTGGAAGAAATTCAAGTCCACAAAATTCTCCAGCGACATTCATTATATCCGTGTCTAAGCCATCGCCACCAATTATCTCAACATAATCAGAAACACCACTGGTTTTACACTGTGAATCAGGAGGCCGATGTTTCAATTAAACAATTGATTCATCCTCAAAAGATATCTTATTCAAGGGTAAGAGTTTATCAATCAGATTTTTTGGACCTACTTCTCTCATGAGTCCAGTTTCAACTGTATTATTGTTGGCAATCGGATCAGAGTCTCCTTCCTTTGTGCGCACACCAATGTCAGTTGATATTATCTGGAAACTTTCGGGAAACATAATGGAAACACTGCAATTGGTTTTTCGTCCAAAATTTTTGATCGTGTAAACTCCTTGAGGATCTCGAAGAATAGCATTACAGGCTGAAAATAAAAAGACCAAAGATGAAATATAAATTATTGCTTAAACTGAAACAAGTTTAAATGAAATTTCAGCTGATAATTCACGAGGTTGGTTACATTTGGCTCGTGATTTTACTTGTTTTGGTAAATTTATAGTCACAAAACAGGTTCAAGAATATTGAGATTCTGCTAAAGGCTGTTAAAGGTTAACAATCTAATCATATAGCACCATTACGAGAGAAATTTAACCTACGTTCAGGATTATTCTGGAATTTAACTATTATCTTGAATCCATCTCCTTCTCTGGGCACTTGGAATTCAATAAGGCCAACATTTTGTGACATTTCAAATTTTTTATTGGGCTTTTTATCGCCACAATATTCTTGATATCGCTCATCTCTTGGTACAGGATGATCCGTTATAGCTGGAAAAAATTGTCCATTCAATTCCCATCCATTTATAACACTTATAAGTCCATTGTCTGTACAATCAACTGAAAAATTTTCAAATTCAAAGGTAACGGTTTGATCAGGTTGAGCGATCACATAAAGGCCACAGACTTCGGTTATGTTTCCAGGTGATGTATATGAATAAACACCTTCATCAGATTTAACGAAAATACATTCTGTAATTGGAATAAGTAAATTAGCTTAAAATACACTGATCCTGATGTATTAAAATGTTGTTATACTTACGACCACGTTCATCGTGTTCAAGCTTTGTTATTGTATCACCACGAAGAATGTCCAATATTTCTTGATCAATTGAGTCAAATCTGGTAGTGTTAGATTCTTCTTCTGTATTCAAATCCTGAGTATTTTTTTCACCATGAAATAGATTGAGAAAGGAAAAGAATTAGCGTTTCTTTCATCATTTCAGCGGCACAACACGATTATGGTTATGTAAAAAAGAGGCAAGTAATGATGAAATAGAATAAGATGGTTCATCTTGATTGAATATAACGACAGTTTGATAATAACAATGGGTTAGGGTTACTATCCTGCACTATTGTTAACTTTAGTCTGTGATTGTTTACTGTGGAAATTATTCTGGTTGTGTTGACCTAATGAGATACTGTTATTTTTGCATTATTTAACTCACAATTGTCAAGCTTTCATTTAAAATGAAGCATGCTAATCAAGTATAGATAGAGTCAGAATATTCGTAATTAACAATAACACTCATTACTTTACATGCATAGTGTTATAGAGTGAACATACCAAAGAAACGATAGAAGCAAGGAGAGTTGAATAGAGGTAGAAAGATACAATGAAGTACGGAAGACATGACATTATCAAGATTGTGTTACAAGTCCAATAAAATGAAATATGGAAACAGAAGAAGAGGTAAAACCAGTAAAATTTTGAAAATTAGACACAAGATGAATTAAATAAATATGATGACTTGTGATGAGTTTGAGGCACTAGAAGAAGCAAAGAGTGGACAATGAAATGTTGACTTGAAATTTGAACATTAACAGCCGATAAAGATGGTTATAGCATGAAAGATTCAATAAAAAAATTAAAATCAAATTGAATCTAGTTGAGGTAGTCAAAACATGAGGCTTTACAAGATATCCACAAACAAAATACACATTGTAAAAAGATGGTGAACTGGGCAACGAAAGGTTTTTACTTTGATCCAAGTTGAAATAATTATTGAGTGAAAATGAATTAAGTAATTTTGAGCAATATTTACTGATGAATAAATTAATAAACTGAATATTAAAAAGGTTAAATTAAGTAAGCATAAATTAAAAATGCAAAATCAATGTTTATAAGTAAAAACAGTAACGGTGAAAACAGAGAGACTGGAGACTAAGCAGGATAAGAGAGGAGCAAATGTAAGCAAAAAGAAAACGTTTTTAGATCAAAGATTTATGACTGTGTGTCAATGGAGAAGGCAAAATGATTTTGTTAATGATGATGTTGTTGATACTGATGACGATGATGATGATGATGATGATTGAAGAAAGAAAGGATATAAATGAAGTAGGTTGGTGCAAAGGCTGAGTCCAAATGAAGATACAAGCCTAAGGCTGGTGAACAGAGACATTCAGCCATAGGAAGAGGCTACACAGGGAAGAGACGATCATGGGTTGGAGGAAGATGAGTACCAATGATGATGAGAAACATTTTCTTCCCTTCAAAAAAGCTATATTTTTAAGAGTAAAATTACTATTTTAAATGATTCCGGGCTATTCATTTTGGCGTCTTTCAGTCGCTCGATTACGTCTTCAGCT